CCCCTGGGGGGTGATTTCTCGCTTTCTGTCTCTATGTCTCTCTCTGTCTGTCTGGCGAGCACACGCGCCCTACAGCGAAAACCTCTCAAAAAAATATATTAAAAATAAGAAAGATCCTGCTGTGGTTGTCTCTTTCTATTTCTCTCACTCATTAAAGAAAAAAATAAACTTAAAAAAAATACAAGCAATTGTAAGAAATGCACACCAATTAAACACACATCCACAATAGTGGGAAATCTATAATACTTTCTCAGAATATTTCAGAACAATATAGTAATTTCAGGGCAAGTATATGAGATGTAACTAATACCTCTTTCAATATTTTTATATAAATTTTAAAATACAAGGGGTCTTCAAAAGGTTCATGGAAAATGTATAGTATAAAAAAAATTTTGCAAGGATTTTCACATTTTTGCACAAAAATAAACTTGTACTTTAATTCTATTTTTTTCACATTTTGAAATATTCTTGTATATGTATAAAATGAAACATTTCAAACATATAGAAAAGTCTCAGTATCATACAATGAGTACCCATACATTGTCAAATCTTACAATTTTGACAAATTTTTGTTAAAAATTTGTCTTTTTTGGGTATCAGCAGTTGGCATAATGGCTATGTTGCTGGACTCCCACGTAGTCGACTGTGGTTCAAGTTCTCGACTTGGTGACTTGAACTCATGCTGGGCATGTGTACGTGCGTGCCAGGGATCCCAAGAGGAGAATGGAAGAGAAGGGAACGTGCATGCCGGGGATCCCAAGAGGAGAATGGAAGAGAAGGGATTGTGGCGTGGTCATCCCCCCTGGGGGGAGCTTTCTCATATTCTGTCTTTCTGTCTCTCTTTCTGGCAAGCACATGCGCCCTATAGCAAAAACCTCTAAAAAAAAATTGTCTTTTTTTTTAATAGAGTATTCAGTAATTTGTGCTTTTTCTTTTCTCTTTTCTTTTTTTCTTTCTCTTTTTCTTTTTTAGATTTTTCCATAGGGCCTATGCACTAGCCAGCAAGAGAGAGAGACACAGAGGGGAAAAGTGAGAAATCGCCCACCATGGGGGACTACCATACTGCAATCTCTTTTCCTTCATTCTCCTCTCGGGATTTTGGGCACACATGCACATGCACCCAGCATGCTTTTCAATGCTCTGTGTCCAGGATTTGAACCACAGTGTCAATCATGTGGGATCCAACCACCTTAAGCTCCATGCCACCTGCAGGCCCCTGTTTTTATTACTGTTTTTATTGATTGTTATGTGTTTTTCTGACTGAATACTCTAAGTAGGATAGATTCTAAGGACAAAAGGACATCAAAGGAATCTTGGACTTAACTCATTTTTGGAGTGATACTGATTCTGAAACTCCTTCATTTGTATGTATAAGGTTTAGCAAGTGTGTCCATACATCGTCATTAGGTTCTCATTCAGGGAGAAAGGAGATACAAATATGAAACGAGAGCAGGAAGGGAAGAACCTTGAGATGCTGGATCGGAATGAAAGGTATCAGTATAAATTAATAAGTTTGAATGCGTTGTATCTTCTTGCTCTGTCCTCTAAGGGTGTCTAGAAGCGATGGCACCCCAGTAACTATGAGCACCCCAAGCATGCATACCACTTTCCTTGGAAAAGAACTAGGGCTCCTTAGAGAAATGGATGATTCTGGGACTAGGGCAGAGAAAGTACAGAATGCCCCTATTGTGCCAGTAAGTCCCGAAGTTCTCAAATAATAAAGGGGACATATCACATAGAGAAATGACTGCCAGGGGTTCCTATTGGTCACCTATGACTTAAGTTGAATATCAAAATTAATAATGACGGGAGTAAATTTTTCCCCATTGAATAAACAAATTCCCCCAAACCATAATTTTTAAATATGTTACAGGACGGGGCCACCAGGCGGTGTGGTGTGGTGGTTAAGGCACTGGACTCCCATATGGTCAACTTCAGTACAAGTTCCTGACCCGGCGGCTTGCTTTCTCACTTTCCTTCTCTTTCTCTTTCTCTCTGGTCAAATTAAAAATAATGATGATGATGATTAAAAGAAATAAAATAATTCTTTAAAAATAAATATGACAGGAGAAGGCAGAAGGGGAATTCTCATTTACAGAAGCATAAACGAATAAACATGGAAGGCATGATACCTATGGTCTCCATGGAAACCTTTGAGTGGTCCTCAATCAGTTTTTCACCCAATGGTTTTAGCATCTGTTGGTCATTCTTGTTCATCCCTGACTACTTCCTATTTTAGGTTAATATGAAGGAGGCTACTATAAACAATCATGTTCAGATCTTTACGTGGATATACGTATTCAATGTCCTTGGAAAATACTTACAGGTAGAATTGCTTCATCATGCTGCAAGTGTATGTTTAACTTTAAAAGAAACTACATACATTTACACACACTTGCTCTAACTCTGGACCCATTCTAGAATGTATTTGTTACCCACTGATGGGCATGTCTCCACTAGAAGACTTATACAAGCATGTCCAAAACAGCGCTATTTGTCATAGCCCCCAAATGGAAATGGCTCAAATGTTCACCAACTGTAGGATGCATAACACAATATACATATATAAAACTAATATATATATATATATATGATCATCAGAAAAGTCATGCTGCATTTTTGCATAGAAAAATGTCATGACTTTCCTGACAATCCAATATACCCATGGAATATTATACAGTAATAAAAAGAACAAACTAATACTATCTATAGCAATGTATTAATAAACAAATCTTACAATGTGACATGAAAGAAGCCAGACACAAACCAATACATGCTGATGATTCCACTTATGTAAATTTCAATAACAGGCAAAAGTAGAATATAGTGAAAGAAGACAGAAAAGCATGTCTTTGTGGGATTAGTGAGAAGCTGACAATGCTCTGAATCTTCATGTAAGTGAGGTTTACTTGGATACGCTCACTTTGTGAAAATTTATCAAGCTGTTTGTTTATGATGAATGCACCTTTCTGTATGTTCATTTTATTCCAACAAAAATAATATTGAAAGTAAACCTAATCGTGATTCCAAAACTGAGTGAAAAAGAATACTGAAAATCCTTCGTGAGTTACTTTGTAACTATCACTTCCAAAAGGCAGGCTCCCGGAAGGCACCCCAAGGCACCCCTGTAACCAGCAGGTCCAAATGACAATACTAAGATGGAAAATGTGCTGGGACAAAGCTCTTTGCAACTCCATGCTGGGTGTACACCAGCACGCTTTTTATGAAAAGAAGTTTGACAGTGAGCATCAAGAGAAATAGAAATAAATGTATACCATTTTATCTCATCATTCCCTTCAGAAATGTATTTATCCTCAATCAACAACTAAGTCAAATATTTATAAACAGTGATATAATTACACATTTAAAACAATTTTTTTTAGCAAAGAAAATTTGTAGGTAACACTGTCATGCTGCATTTTTGCATAGAAAAATGTCATGACTTTCCTGACAATCCAATATACCCATGGAATATTATACAGTAATAAAAAGAACAAACTAATACTATCTATAGCAATGTATTAATAAACAAATCTTACAATGTGACATGAAAGAAGCCAGACACAAACCAATACATGCTGATGATTCCACTTATGTAAATTTCAATAACAGGCAAAAGTAGAATATAGTGAAAGAAGACAGAAAAGCATGTCTTTGTGGGATTAGTGAGAAGCTGACAATGCTCTGAATCTTCATGTAAGTGAGGTTTACTTGGATACGCTCACTTTGTGAAAATTTATCAAGCTGTTTGTTTATGATGAATGCACCTTTCTGTATGTTCATTTTATTCCAACAAAAATAATATTGAAAGTAAACCTAATCGTGATTCCAAAACTGAGTGAAAAAGAATACTGAAAATCCTTCGTGAGTTACTTTGTAACTATCACTTCCAAAAGGCAGGCTCCCGGAAGGCACCCCAAGGCACCCCTGTAACCAGCAGGTCCAAATGACAATACTAAGATGGAAAATGTGCTGGGACAAAGCTCTTTGCAACTCCATGCTGGGTGTACACCAGCACGCTTTTTATGAAAAGAAGTTTGACAGTGAGCATCAAGAGAAATAGAAATAAATGTATACCATTTTATCTCATCATTCCCTTCAGAAATGTATTTATCCTCAATCAACAACTAAGTCAAATATTTATAAACAGTGATATAATTACACATTTAAAACAATTTTTTTTAGCAAAGAAAATTTGTAGGTAACACTTACAATTGGCGTCCCAAAAGGAATGTAACCTGTGAGTAGAGGAAAAAAAAAAAGTCAAGTCTCTCAACCCACCTACTTCTCAACTGATATCCAGGAGCCTCCTGAGCTCGGTCTTATCAATGGCCCAACAAAGAGGCTCAGGTCAATTAGTGGGAGGCACCTCTGAGCCCTCAGAGCTTGGCCTAGCTCAGTCCTCCTCAGGGTGGTTAGGGTCCCTGATGTCCTCAGCCTCCCCCTCACCGCTCTCCTGTAGCCAAGCAGTTCCCACTTCCCTCTAGAAGTAGAGGCCCAGGCCTGAAGGCAGGGCTGCCCATTGCTCGGGGCATCACCACTCTACATAAAGATCCTCCCCCTGATTCCTCAGTGAGGCACTATGCCCTGCCCACACTCACTATGCAAGACCAAACATTTTCCCAGCACCCCAGAATCCTTTCCTCAGCTTGGCATCCTAGCACAGGCCCTTACTTCCCTGGCCTCATGACCATTTCTGGAAAAGGACTTCTCTACCCACCTGAGATGTGTACTTCTAAGTGCCAGGGCCTTTCAATCTCTGGGACCCCAGCTAGCCACCCTCAGGAGAGCAGTAGAGATGGGGAAGAAGCGCAGCTGGGCTGCTCATGGCCTCCCAGGAAGCCCCCTGTGCTGCCCCCGCTGAGTTAGTGGCTGGCCTTCCGTTCCCAACCCCTGTTTGGTGGCGGTCAGGGTCAGGCCTGACAGCAGGGAGCATGCATATCCGAGTTCTGCATCCCAGGTCTGCATAATCATGTATGCAGGAGCCATCCCTCTCCTACCCGCTTCCCTCTGGGGAGACGGATGCTGGCTTGGGCCTCGGAGGAATAGGTGACTTTAAAGGTAATTACAGGAGAAGCCAGGCTGGGGCGAAAGCCTGCTCTGTCTGGGACAGGGTCTGGGGAGCCAACTACAGCAACTCTAAATGCTCAGAGCCTTTGCTGCCTCCGAGTTCTTTGTGGAAAAGCAGCGGGGCTGCAGGGCACTAACTGCCCAGTTTACACGATAGTGCCACCAGGCCACCTATTCCCTGGTTGTTTATTCCCCTAACCCTGTGAGGTTAGCCTTTCCAGGGGTGAGAACCTGACCGACCCATCCAGTTCCCTGAGGCCCTCCTGAGGGAATGCTGAGGCTTGGCCAGAGCCTTGTGAAGCAGGGCCCAGGTGAACACGTAGGTGCAAGCATGGCGTGTAAGTGACAGGCTCCGTCCTCTCCAGCTTAGTACTTCTGGTCACTCCTGGACTTGTGAGCACCGTAAGCACCCCAGGCTGGGCAGAACCAGAAGGTCCCAGGAGCTTACCTGACATTCTAAAGGGCATGAAGATCTTCTCATTGGTGTCCGGGTGTAGAATAGCCTGGCAAGAGCCGGGAACAGAGCATGGGGTGACATTGGGGGAGGAGAGAGGGACGAGTGAGGAAGGAGGGGGACAAGCAGAAGCGTTAGGGGAAGAAGGCGGGAAAAGGACAGCTCCTTCAGGGGTCAGATGTGACACAGCAGTAACACAATGCAAGGCTGACCCACAGGGAAGGTTCCTGGTTCATGTCCAGAGACCTCCCTGAGCAGCTAGGGAGGACTGAGGCTGGGTGTGAATGGCAGTGTGAAAGACCCTGCTGGGTGCTGTCTTTCTCCCTTTCTCTCATTCATAAAAGAGAGAGAGAGAGAAAGAAAGAGAAAACAAAAACACAAAACAAAACCATTCTTCTCAAGATGACTCAGGTCAGTGGCTGGATGTCACCTTCTGTCCTTAAACCGCACCCCTCTTACTGACTAATTCTCAGAGCTGAAGATAGGGGAGACCAACAGCCCTGGGGGCAGGGACTGTGTGCTTTGCAGGCTCTCCATGCCCATGCCTGGCACGTAACAGGCATATAATAAGGATTTTGTTGACAGGGCCCAATTTCTTCCTGGAGCTCCGAGAGTGCAGGGCAGGGCCAGCATGGCTTGAGTTCCAGGCTTCAAAATGTAGGCCCTCAGATGCTGGGGCAGAAGGAAGGGGTGAGATGGCCAGGGCAAATGGGAGGGCGGTGCTGGGCACATTGCAGCCATGGGAGGAGGGGCTTCCGCTAGATCCCTGGGAGTGGGGTGGGGTCCAGGTAAGCACAGAGGAGGGAAAAAAATAATCCAAAACAGAATTACCTGCTTGATTTTCTGTGCACTCCAGAGCTGGAAGAAAGCAAGACAGGAAAATAAAATGAATAAAGATTAAAAACACATATTGAGACTGGCAGAGGGCGTAGTGGTTACATCGCTGGACTCCCATGTAGGTGACCGTGGTTCAAGTCCTGGACCCAGTGGCTTGAAACACACCAGGCACATGTTTGTGCATGTCCAAGATCCCAGGAGGAGAATGGAGAAAAAGAGATTACAGGGGGCCGGCAGGTGGCGTGGTGGTTAAGGGCACTGGACTCCCACATGGCCAACCGCAATTTGAGTCCTGGACCTGGTAGCTTGCTTTCTTACTTTCTCTCTCATTCTCTCTCTCTCTCTGGTCAAAATTGAAATAAATAAATAAATAAATAAATAAATACTTTTTTTTTTTTATATATAAAAGAATGTGACAGTAGCTCATGTCTATTATAATATGATGGAACGTATTTGGAAACTAATGACTAGTTTACATTCTGAGCAAGAAG